CGCGGCGAAAAATTCGATTAACCGTCTACGGAGGAGGCGAAACAATTCCGTCTGCTCGCCCTGCGAGGTTCCAACCGTTTAACCGAATCGAACGGAAGCGAGAAGGTGAAAAAAGGAAAAGCGAGAGGAAGAGGAAGCGGCGCAAAGAGAGAATAACCCCGAGCAAATAGGGTCGTTTCGTAGCTCGTAACGGCGGAGCGCAAATAAGCGCGAAGCTGGATAAAACTTCTTCTTACCCTATTCTCGATTTAATACCGAAAGTGTCAACTTTTCGGAGAAAGTCCATCGAGTCGTTTCCGACTGCCGGCTATATATCTTGTAATTATTCGTACAGTGTCGAGATTGTTTGCGGGCTCCGGACGCAATTAGTCGGCTCGGTAACGCAACTTTAAAAAGTTGACGCTGCAAGCACGCCGGAGTTGTGCTGGCTTGTCTCTACCCTCCGCTGCCTTTTGTTCCGTTCGCATAATCAAGGAAAATGTACCTCCGACGTACCCTTTACCTTGGCCAACCAGCCCAACCACCCGTTATTCTTCTTCGCGTAATAACTCCGTAGAACGGAAACCGCGAAAGCCAACGCGATTAATGTTCTCAGACGAGAACGCGACTCGTCGTCCGTCGTCAGTCTTTCGCCGTGCAAATCGTCTTTCGATATCGTCCACTCAAATCAAGCGAAAAAATACGACAGGTGCGGATAGTCGAACCTTGGCTCACAGCGTACCGTGGATTTAAAGTAAGCTGTCTTTCCTCGTTCGTGCGAAATAAATATCTCGTATTTATCGAACCCAGCTTTCCTCGGCTCGTTGGATTCCCACTTTCATCCCTTCTGCCGCGCCCAAAAAGGCCGGTCAGCTAGACCGCTTGCTTCAAAAGCTTCCGTTTACGCCTTGATTATTCCCCAACGGTTGAACCGTGTTAACAGCGTGTAATGCACGGACCGGACACGACGTAACAACGAAGGTTATCTCGTGGATGGCTTTAAAGAAAAACGCTTCGTCCGAATACCGTTCCGAACGCGACGCTGGCTGCACTCTCGAGCTCGATTACGTTTAATTTCGCTTAACTTCGTTTCAGCTTTTTTCGATAAGCGCGACACGGGAATTAAACGCGGAGCGGAAATTCCGCCGTGACGTTTGGTCGCGATCGAGCGCCAAGAGGAGGCGAGATTCAGCGCGGCACGGCTTACGGGCAATTGTCGCGATTCGGTTTCGCCGATTGCGCCACCGCGACAAAATGTTTGCGTACGGCTGTTTGTACGCGAATTATTATGCGGCTCGTTGTCCTCCTCCAATCCCCCGGGTGTCGCCGACTAGCAATTTCTCCGTTCCGCGTGTACCCTGGCCGAGAGAGCAAGAGCTAACGTTTCTAACGGTCTCTATAAAAAGCGCTCGCGTTTTACCTGCTATTGCATAATAACTCGATCATCGTCGCTTCGTTGCCACGCGGCTTTCACGCATAATTTATAAACCTTATCTTTAACGAATGTTCAGCGTGCCGCTCGACCATCGATGGTACGTTCCTTCCACGGTGCGTCTTGGAACGAAACATTTTGCGAAACGACGACAAAATTTCGGACGTTGGTTCTGGATTCAAAACACGATATGACTGCGGATATCCGTAAGACGCGCATACGAGCGCATGAAATCCTACGTGTCTATCGGAGAAGCCAGCTAGGGCTAGCCTTTGAAGAGGAAGAAAGACAAGAGCTCTATAGAGGTGTACGCGTATACTCGGATGCTTTTATTTCCAAGTTGAATAGAGATCTCGTGGTACAGGATGAGTGGAAAATACGAGAAACGAAGGGTTATTCGCCTCGATGTCAGCATTTCTTTTTCCTCCCTGTTATTAACAACGTCCATTGATCGCGATGCACGCCGGTCCACGTGGATAATGAATGTCGAGGTACTCGAATCCGGGAAATTAAATTTCTTCCTAACGTTCTTGGGTTTCGAGCGAACGAGAGCTATTCGCTCGTGTTTAACGAATCGATCCCCGTGATTAGCTACGTTTGCATAATTCGCAGAATTTACCTGTCCACCTGGATCCTAATTAAGAACAATCGATGCTGCGTCGACGATGCGCGAGCAAACGATGGTTTCAGTTATTAACGAATCGCAATAGGCGTCCTTCTGTTTCCGTACAGAGGTACATTACGCTGGTAGCGTTTATTTATCGATTGTGGATTGAGAGAAAACAAGCAATGGTTTGCGGTTCTCTGTAACACGCGACGCTCGAGATTTAATATCGATTTGCACCAACCTGTTTCGTTGCTTCTCCTCTTGTCGCGAATCCTTTTCACACTCCATTTTTCTCACAATCATAGACACTCTTCGTTAACTTTTGTCAATATCGCGAAGAAAATTGTCTCGGGTTTACAATAACGATACGTTCGCAGCGTTGGAGTACAAGAGGTTTCTCGAGTAATAATTTTTGAAACTAAACATTTTTGCCAACATAAGACACGGGGCAACGAGGTTTCGACGATCGGTAGTCGGAGTCCTATCGAACGAATCGGGCCAGAAGTAAGAGAGAAATAAATCCAGTATCGAAGGGTCACGTGGATATCGCGGTAAAAGGCCTGGAAGAAGATTTAATTTGCGGTTCACCACTCGGTGGTTGGGCTAACGGAAAAGCTCGATTCGCTATTTTTCACCTTCCTTTATCGTTCTTTTTGTTCGACCAATTCGCAGCGTTCCATAGAAATTGGAAACTGGCAAATTTAATAATAACTGCGCGAACTAACCGCAAGAGTCCATATATGACCAATATACTCGCCACTTGTGATATAGAAAACATTTTGTCGTTTTAAAATAAAATTCAACCGTCTTTCCTTTTTCTCTTTTCCTCTTTTCTTCCCTCTTTATTCTCCTTTTTCGAACGAACCCGTTTTCCGTAACTTTTCCTCCATGCGTACGCGTAATGGTCCGCAATGCTCTATGCGTAACGCGGTAATTGGGATCCCTGCTAGCCGAAACACGCCGGTTGTACCGGTAAACTTTTCTACGCTAGGAAGCGCACGGTATCGAAAATTCCACGGTAATCGCCGAAAAATCTATCGTCCCTTCGATCTTTCCGAATACCCGACAGATTTGTGAAAGCACGTCGCGTTTCCGAATCACGCGTAAGCACTTTAATTCGAAAAATTTCAGCGACGCTCGAAATACTTTCAGGTTCTTACGAGAAAAATCCTGCCCGTTTATGCGATTGGAACCGATCGATCGTATCGATCGTTAATCGCGTTCGAAAGAAATTTCACCGTTTCGGAACTTTGTCAGGGATAAAGGCAGACGATCGAACGAGGATGGGAGACTAAGACGATCGGTCGAGTTTAATGGTCTTTTGTTAATTATTTCGCGATATAGTCGTTTGAAACGTTAACTCTTTCGTCAAAGAGAGCACCGGGCAACCACTTGGACAGAGGTTGCGCTCCTTTGCGCGAGTTCGTAAGAACAAAGAGTATCGTTGGACATCGAAACAATCGTCGGATCGTCTAATTGAATCGTAGGCGCGGGAAAGCCATGCGGGAAATTTAATTGGAGCGACGTCGGGATCAAAACGGAATTGGAGAACGCAATTATCGAAGGAGCGAAGCGAAATCCAAGCGGGAAAGGCACGCAGAATGGGAAAAGGAAAAAAATTTCTCGTGTCGCGATCAAAGAACGTCTCGACGACTTTCTTTTCGATCTGCACGGGGAATGGGAAACGTGGAACAGGAAACGAGAGAGAGAGAGAGAGAGAGAGAGAGAGAGAGATGCGAAAATTTGTCTAGCATTGCACGTCGTACTGGGTGTTTCTTGCGAAACTCGCGGCATTTATAAGAAAAGTTCCGTTCGATCGGGGAATCGTAGAGAAACATTGTTCGAAACATCGGAAAGTATCGAGAACGATTTTCCTTCGGTGCAAAAATGTCAGAGCTAGCGAGAACTCGTCGTTCTACTCTCGTGGAACTTTTAAAGTTGATCCAAGGAATACTCGCTTTTGTCATTTGCTCCATCTTACACGCTGATACGTGTCTCTTTACGCGTTGCAACTCGTCGCGGGATTTGAAATTTTTACGAAGCCCGATAAACCCGATCGATTTTGTAATACGAGGCAACGATCGGGGGAAATTATTCGAAACACCGAGTTACCGAGATTCGTGGCTGTTCTTGAAAGAAAATGTACGCTATCGAAGTACGCGTGGTTACATAATTACGTTGCGTGTCGATGCGGTGTAGGTTATCGCCTAGATAAATGACCGTGATATAGATCGGGTGGCGTGGAGCTTCGGGACAGCTACTCGATATCCATAGGCAAAGCGGATAGGACATTTTGCTCCATTCGAGTAATTACTCTTCGACATTGACATAAAAATGCTCGTCGTTGTTTCCGCGATATCCTCGTCTCGTTGTAATTCGAAAACGTAAAGAAGTACCACGGTGAAACGTAAAATGATTGGACGAAGATGGTCGAACGGAAATCAAATACTCGCAGCTCCCCTATTTACAACGCGTAAAACTGCCGGGTAATTGGCACGTAGCACTTGATACGCTTGATTCGCTCGTCGGATAGTCCTGGTCAATCCTCGGATGATCGATAGAAGGTGTGCCATCCGATAGGAGATGCATCAAACGAGAATACCGACCGCACGATACGTATGGGCATCCATTATTGGCACACGTGCTATTCCCGACACGACGCGGTCAGAGAACGAGACTGGTTTACGCGGTTGCATGTCCCAGGACTAATGTTACACCAGTCATCCCTCATTCCGTCTACCGTCGTATTTACCTCCGATGAGCCATAAGCGTCCGTCTGTAACTATTTCGTCTCGAAGAAACCTCGCCGCCTATCGCCCTATCTCGCGACATCGTTCACCGGCGAATTTTCAATTTCCCTGAAGCGCTTCGAGTAATTCGGAGAAAAAAGAAGGCGATAACTTTGCGCGAGGCGATATAACGAGAAGGCCGAATAAATATGGTAAAACGAGTCTGTATAACGCGATCGATGTCGACTTGCAGAACTATGCGAGGAATGGGCTCTAGCGAATAGTCGCGAATGCGTGGAGGGCGGTGGTTCTGCCGGTACGACGCACGAAGAATCCGAGGATGCAGCGGAAGCCAGGTTCACCCTCAAATATTTGGGCAGTACCCTCGTCGAGACACCCTCGAGCGAAGAAGCCACGGCAGAAGCTATCAAGACCGTCATCACGATGGTACGTGTACTCTTTGCATCTATGATGCTTCTTTTACCACCGTTTCTTCTTAACCTTTAACAACGAGTTTCCTCCGCATTTTTTTTTCCTCGTGCGAATAATTCGAGTACTCGATACGTCGTCGATCGCGTTTACCATTACGTTCGAATCCATCGGAACGTAAAGACCGTATTGAGTGGCCGATCGAAGCGTTTTCGAGGCGGAAGAGGAAAACGGCGAATAAAATTACGCATAAATCTGCTCGGTGTATAACCTTCGTTGCACCTAGCTCGTTAATTCCGCGACAAAATAAATTACCCACGCTCGATAAGGTCGATAAACGTTCACGGCGTGGCATAAACTTATCGTTAAACTCTATAGAGATCGGTAACAAATTTGCATCTTAAACTTTTTTAATCTCCATCCGCGATATCCGAAACCAGCTCCCCTTTCGCGTGCCACTGCTCGCGCGTGTCGTTTTAACGAGTATTCCGCGACCGGTCTATCCGTTTTGTTCTACGATGCGATTAAGCAAAAGCAACGCGTTTAACGAGCTAATTAATTTGATTTAACGCGATAGCTAATAGCTTTGTTAGCGATAAATTTGATCAGTCCACGTTGGATAATTTCGTTCGTTTTCAACGATGCCCCGCGTGCGTGCGATTTCTCCGTTCTATTAAACGTAAAAAGCACGAAAGATATTTACCACGTTATCGTCCATTTTGCCCTGGACTGTGGCAAACTTGATTACCGTAGGAACAGGGGATCACAGCTGCCTTCAAATTTTATAGGACATCCACGATTAAACCGAGTTTAGGTAATCTCCGGGCGAGTTAATTCGTTGAATGCCGCGTTTATTCTGCCCGAGTTTCACGATTACGTTACTGTAAAACGTCACGACGAGGTTACCGTTGCTCCAGAAGATACTTCGTTTCGAGAAACGAAATTAACCCTCTTTCTTTCGTTTGCTTTCAGCCGTGTTCCCGTAGTAATCTAATAAGGCTTTTCATTAAACAAATATATTTCTCCCGCGGCGACGTTTTCGCTGCTGCGAAAAGACGAAGCGAAATTCGACTCGATTTCGACAGCGCGTTTAAACGGAAAACGCTGCGATCTCTTCTCTCCTTTGCTCGTCGCGCGAAAATCCAGTCGAGAGATAAACGGATTTTACTCTTCCAAACATTTTCCACGAAAGCTCCGGCTATTCCGTTGTATTTACCGCGTTTAGATTCGACCAGGTACACGTCGCTGTATCGATTAAATACGATAATAACCCGATTAGGATGAACGCGTGAAACGGCTCGGATGATTTTCGAAACGAGTTAGCACGTTTTCATTGCACCGTGTTCTCTTTTGATACCGTAGGCAAAGGCGAGCGGCAAGAAGCTGCAAAGAGTCTCTTTGGCCGTGAGTTTGAAGGGTATTAGAATGACGGACCTGGCCACGGAAGAAGATCAGCTTCAGGTGTCTATATACAGGTAGGTATGAAACGAGACAGAACTCCATGAACGTATCCGAGGCATTTCCTGCTTTGCGAAACGCGTATACACGCGTCAGTCACGTTTGGAGAGCTGTAATCGGACGAAACCGGATTTGTTGGTTCTGGCTTGTACATTTCCCTTTGCGTCAGCCAACATAATATCCGATATTCAGGCTAAAATGTATTCGAAATATCGCGCAATGCCGACCGAGCAAACGTTACGCGCTTCGATCCTGCAATATTATTCTCTTTGCCGATCCGACGCCATGATTTATCGAACGAATCCTTCGATATCGAATCTCGTATCGAAATGAAAAACCGTCCCGTTGTTTTCCACCCTTTTTTCGCACTTTCCTCCCTTTCCCCCTTTTCGTTCGTTGTTGCGGTCGTGTTTACAACGGCAAAAAATCCATTTTGGACACGAGCATATTAAAAGCAACAACGCTGTTTCCGTTTTCAGTTTCGACCGTTTCAACAAACGAACGATATTTTTCTCAATACCATTTCGTTCCCCCTCTCCTGCGTTAGATCGGAAAATCGACTAGAAACAGGTTAAACGTAACGCGTAATCATTTAGGATCCGGATTCGTGCGATCACGATGACTTCGAGAGAGGCAATCGAGTGATAAGGAAAAAGATTTTACGGTTCATAAAGGAAAAGAGGAAGAAACGTGGTAACGACTCGGGCTATATATTTTCTTAATCGCGTGATATCCTCGTTCCACTGTAATACACCGACGCTGTTAATGCTACTTTAATTAACTCCCGGCTCATATAAGCGACCGCGATTTAAATATGATTAAAACGTAAAATTGAACGTCATGGAACACCGTTTTGATTTTACGCGCGTAATTCCACGCGAGCGAGGGTTAATATTTGTCTCGCTGAAATTTCTGCCTCGCGAAAAACGGGAAAAAGGGAAATTCGAGAAAATTGCATTTGTACTTGTCGCGCGGTTGAAGCTCCGCTTCGAAACGTCTTCTTCTATGCGTGCTTTCAAAGAAATCTTCCTTCGGCGTAATTCCTTTGTTACGTAACGAACGTAATGCATCTGTGCAATTTACCAGTCTTCGCGATTCTCGTTTCATCGCGAACATGCTCGCGTTACGAGAATCTTTGACCGTGATTACTGAAATTGCGGCAATGTACCCGTTCCCCGCTACCACGTAAGACTTTGTGGAAATTCGAACGGAGTGGAAAGCATCGGGTAAATCGTTGACCATGTTTGAAATTCTTTTCAGAATCTCGTATTGTTCGGCGGATGCTGCTCACGATCACGTGTTCGCGTTTATCGCGACAAATTTGAATGAAACTATGGAGTGCCACGCGTTCCTCTGTCCTAAAAGAAAAACGGCGCAAACGGTGACGTTAACGGTGGCTCAGGCCTTTAACACGGCTTACGAAGCTTGGCAACTTTCCCAAGCCGATCCCAGGATCCATCACGCTCAAGATAAAAGTCCCTCGTTAACGGATGATACGAACGGTAGGTAAATTATTCTCTATCGTAGTGACCCTTTAACCACGCGTTTACACCGTGTCGCGTGAATTTCCCATAACGCGAACCTAACCCTACTAACCCCGTTCCGGTGACGCGTTTCACCCCCGAAAGAGTTACGAGTCTCTAAATCTACCTGAACATTTTCGAGCGAGTGGTAATCGAACGGTGTACCGAATCATGGGGTGGGTTCGATAAACGAGGAAAGAAAGAAGCTGGCTTTTAATCTCGAACCGTTTGATTTGCGGTGAAAAAGTATACATCGTCGGTGCGATGCAGCCGATACCTGTGCGATTGTGTGCACTTAACTCCCCGAGAGTGCGGATATTGCGGAGAGTTTCGGAGAAGGTTACGAGTGCACCCAGGAAATTGTCCGGTAATATTGGACCTTGTGCACAGCGAACTACAACACTGCGGAAAACTGGAACAATTACTACTCGCGTGTTCCCTTGGCCCGCGCGCACATTTTCCAACATGTTCCGTTCAAAGAGAATTAGTTCCGACTATTCTGCCGCTAACGAGAAATAATTGCTCGTTAAACGATGAAATTCTACCGGTTGTACGTAACTTAATCGTTAAACGCGATTATGTTCGAATTAGGGAAGAAGCGTGTCTTTTCGAGCAAAAAGCATCGCGAAACGTCTTTGGATCATTTTTCCCGAATATCCCGAGCGGTCGTTGTATCGGTTAGCATCAAGCGCATTTGCGACAGGGTAAATAATTAGTGGTGCATCTGTAATTAACGAGGCGACTCTGGTTCGCTGTTCAGAGCTACGAAATGACGCGAAGCTACCAATTAGCGGCAAACGAGAAATCAGTGTTTGTATGCGAAGGTTCTACTTCCACGTTACAGAGACTCCTGGACATTGGTATACATGTGGGTCGATAATGAAAGTGTATCTAGGAAACCGTACCATAGACCTGCGAAATAGAGGTTCCATTTCGTGATTTACGTAAATGGGATTTGACCATTCGCATTTCCTATTTATCTTGCATATCCAACCGGAGAAGCTTACCGTTCGGATATGCCTAACCGTTTTATATTTAACCAACGTGCGATTATCGATTGTTCTTTAATTTTTCTTCTTCTTTTCTTTCCTTTTAGAAAACAACGAGAAAAAGAAAAAGGAGGAGGACACGAAATCCGTGGGTAAAGTTAACGAACAAAATAAAGACAACGCGCAGCAACGTAACGCGAACGATGCACCGAAAAATCTTCTAATCGATTTATCCAACGAGAACAAAGCAACCGGGAATTCATGGGTAGGCGATCGGTGTTTATTCTTCATAATATTCTTCATAATATTCTTCACGATATCCCTGATGCACGCACGAGGGTACTGATATCGCGATATTTTGTAGGTTTGCTTCGAAGACGAAGATGGTAAAAAGCTGCAGAAAAAGAGTAACTCCACTAGTATTCCCATGACAACTCTGAGACACAGCACGACGTCTGCGTCGCACCACGTTGTGCCGAGGCCAACGACGGGTTTCAAAATCCAAAATGCTTGGGGTGAATCGAGATCCGTGGATCTGATGTGTTCGTAGCAGGCATAGCCCACGGCCGATAGCTTCCAGGACGTGCCATTGATCACTGATCTCTGGAAGCGTTTATCGAACAACGGCCAACCGAGGAAGATCAAGCAATAGACTAATTATTATCGTCGAACTCACGATACGACTTCAATTACCGACCGATCGAACCGTTGGGAGCGATGCATCTCAAAACGAACGCCGTTTCCAGGAAAACAAGGTGCTAGTCGATCGCTACCGATCTACCCATATATCCGGCTAATTTTTCACCAACCACGTTTCCTTTTATTTCGTCACGAGACTTAATCGAATACGCTTATCGATATTTTATCAATATCATGGAGTCGACGATACAATGGTGATTTTTTTCATACGTTTTTACGTCCTCGAAGAACAATCGATTATCGAGCGGTGCTCGCGCGAGGACCGACAAATCGACACGAAAAGGGTTTTAGTTCGCGACTAAGAAGTGGGAACAATTTTTCCAACCCTTTTGTACGATGCGTGTATCCGTGCCAATTCTTTCACACATATCGTATACAATTTTATATTACTGTACCGTGCGCGTCGTGCATCTACAGAAACTTTTACTGTTTTAACTATATACCAAAACCATTCCTTACCTTTTTTCTTTTTTTTTTTTTTTTCTTTTTTCTTTTTTCGAACGACTTTGCAAAAATCGAGAGACACTTAAGAAACGACGTCGAGTTGTCGACCGATCGTCTACGACAAGGCAAAACTAACCTGTTTAATTTTCGTTAGGTAGAACCGAGTTTTATCCGTTGTCGAATAGCTGGGCTATTTCTTAGTTGGACGTTCTCCATTCGTTTCTGTGCGGAAAGAGTATTCGAAGCGTAGATTAGATAGTAAAAGAGAATATGCTAATTATACTTTCGATGTTAGTGTCGCTATTTACGCTGTAATTTTTAAGAGAAAAGAGTATGTTTCGATACCAATTTTTCCGTTCTTAAATGAATAGTAGAAATCGATTTTATCCTCCCGAAATACATATTCATAGATACCGTCGATCAGACGACGTTAATCGAGAGTAATGAAATAGCGTAATTCGATATTAGGAACACGAGTTGGTACATACGTTGTAAAAGTATATATCCATTTAGCGTGTTTATCATGAAAATTCGCATATAATTTTAACGGAGTTTGCGTTTAATGGTAAAATAATCAAAATATGCGATTAATGGATTAATCGATACGTTTAATTGCTCGCTGTACTCCAACAGCGAATACGATCGTACAGTTTAAGAATTATTTTCAAACTTATATTCCGAATCGGGTTACAATCGCGACAAAGTCTTTTCGAAGAAAATATTTTCATTTTTTCGCAAGAATATTATAATATACTATGTATCGGTTTCTTTTACGTCTGTGCACTTTTATATTTACGACACGTGGAAAATCGTATCGATTCCCGAAGATCGTTAGCGTTTGTGACGTACGATGTTATATTATATGCGAAGCTTGTTGTCCGATAGTTGAACGTAGTCGATTATTTTCGTAGGAAATTCGATAAATGTATAGAATAAAATTATACAGTACAATCATTACCGTTCGCAACGTTCGCATTTACTTGTGAATCGGATGCCGTAGCTAAACTCAATATTCCAACTTCGACGTGTTTCGTTTCCGCAAACGTATGAATCCAGTTGAAAAGCAATTCGTATTTGTAGTGGAATTATTTCGTTAATTAAAAGAGAGAAAGAAAAAAGAAAAAAAAGGAAAAAAAAAAAAGACAGACGATACGTGCGAGTAACCGAGTAATTTGAATCGTATTCCGTTCGTGAAAATTAACGATAATTTTGCATGGTCATATTACGATCGGCGCGATACATTTTCGCAGTTGTGCAACGGTTGTGCAACGTCGCTTAATATCGCTAAGTGTTTGAATATAAGTACACGTTAAATATATACATACATATCTAAATGCGCTTCATTATTAAATAGTATTCGCACATCCAATTCCTTTCTATCGATTTTTAATGGCCGAATGTCAATTATATACTTTGCATTTTCACGTGATTTTACAAAAGCACATTGGCTATTTGCAGCACACCCTTTATTGATTTTATGCCGCGTAAGACCGTTTCCCTGTTCCGTAGATGCATGAGAGATGGCGACAGGCATCAGCTCCGGGAATAAAATATTGCACGCGAAAAGTATCTTTTCTAATCAGGTGGAATTCACGACGCTGTTACGATTAATCTCGTCGTTATTGGAATAACGTTCTTTCGTTTAAATATTTACACTACGTAACAAAAGATTGCATGATAATGCAGTTTATTCCCCGCTGTCCCACCAGATGGAGGCATCTACGCGTAGCAAATCGCGACTTCGAAATTAATCGTATTAGATGACACGAAACGAAAGTTTGTTTCGTAGTTACGAATAATGTAACGAAAAATTTGCTGCGAAATATTACGTAACAAATTTGGAATTACGAGTTTCGTGTAGAATCGTCGCAATATATAAAAGAGGGATATAAAAGAGGCTATACAGTTGCAACTACGTATTTATATAACACTGTCACGACGAACGAATTCCTCAAAATTTCTATTGCCGTGATGCAACGATGACTTTTACACCGTAGAAACCAAAGTAGGCAAAGTTTGAAGCGTAACAGCGTATGAGTATGACCCGACGTCACGTTAATATATCGGCAGCTCATTCAAGAGGCAGCAAACACTGACTAGCTACGCGAGGCAAAGGAGAGGACGTTAATGCAGAAACGTTTCGAGGTTATTCCATAGACAGCGAGCAAACGAGCGCATTTTAAACGAGGAAGACGAAGAGAGAAAGCCTGGAAAGCAGGGCAGTGAGGACGAAAGAGGGAGGCACACGTTGTGCGGATAAAAAGAGCTGCCTCGTCGTCCCAAAAGACGAAATAGGTTACTCTTTAGTGTAACTACTTAGGTGCAGTTCGGTTTTTTCAGATGCCCCAAATAAGAAACTGCCTTTGGCCAACTTTCCCAGATCTAGATCTTTTTCTCCACATTTTTCGTTTCGAAAACCGCGGGATATCTATCTACAGCATTTTACGGATAATACGACAATTTCGTTCGCGAAAATTTTTACGACGAATTCGCGTTAAACCAATTATTCGCTAAACGTGCTAAATGTCATGTGGCAATTAGTAAAATAAATAATATACCATTTGCGTATGAGCTACTTTACTTTAAGCTACTTTAAACACGTAGATTATTCGATGATATTCGTGATGATAAACTAGGTTAACTAGGAACGATAAAGACGTTTAGACGTTCTATAAAATGTTCGTTTGAAGAAAAAAAAATTAAGAATTGGAAGATATTAGAAACAGAATAAGCTCGAGCATATTAGAAATACCGGCTTAAACGTAAAGATTACGCATTCTTTTGTCGCACGCATTTGTTTTGGTAGCTTTTCATTTTTATCGAAACGAAGTTGTCGACGATTTGAAACCGTGGTACATCGATTTCGAGCAATGAGCAAATACGCGAAACACTCGAAAGGTATAACGCGACGATTCAACGTCAAGATCGTTTCACTCACCGTACTTTCGTAGAATGGAAGGTCCGTTGTTGGTTCTCGAACGTATTTATTTCGAATTTATCGACATTTATTCGCACAATTGTTCCCGCTTTCAACCCGAAACGACCGCTGTCTTACTGAAACGAAGTATCGAAACTGGTCGACAGATGTCGCGTCGGGTGCGTATAAGAGTAACAGTCAATATGGCGTCTTCGAACAGTAATAAACCGAGTTCGCGTCTTTGACACGGAAAGTTACTGGCACCGCCGCACGTAGGCGCTGTTAAACGCATATCTATCTCCGTGAGAGCTTTTTCCCAAGGATGTTCGCGGTATAGAGCCTCGGAACCGGAGATTCGCATCCTCCTCGATTCTCCAAGTTTCCCGCGGGATTATCCGGCGACAACGACGGTGATCGGTCAACAAACGGTGACATCCTTCTTTCATACGTGTCATCTCGCCGTTTATCCCGCAAGGACAGTGTCTGTTTTACCGTGCGATCGTACTTCTGAGAAGGAGTAGAGAGAGCGTGCTCCTGCAAACTGTCCACGTATCGTGTGCAAATTCTTCGCCCTCTGCAATGACGATGTTTGCGAAAAGATATCAATACGATCACATGGTTGTCCACCGTTGTTTACTCGGGCGTAATTCGGTTAAAAATTAATAGCCACCGGTGGACGGAGCACGGGAAATAACGTTAAAATTCGGTCGTGAATTTAACACTCATGGGCCTGCAATCCAACACGGATCGCGGAAGCTGTGCCTCTGGTCGCCGTGCAGGTTGAAACCAAGAAAAATTCGAGGAATCCACGGTGACTGGGAACATCGAATGCTCGTAAGTACTTTGCAATCGTAAAAACAAGATAGCCACGAAACTGTCGATCGACTTCGATCGCGCCTTTGCTATTTCTTTCCAATCGTACGTACGCTCACGTGACAGCTGACGGCGAAAAGGTTGTCACGATGCGGCCGAGACGACAACGTTACCTCGACGTTTCGTAATTTTCTTTGACCGGTGAATCTTTCTGCTCGTTTAAACGGAAAGCCGGTATCGTTTCTCGTTCCAATATTTCCTTACGCGATTTCAATTTCGCACAACGATACGTAAATGGGTGTTTCCAGAGGTTACGTTTGCACGCGAAATTCTGTTCGTCTGTATCGAACAGACACGTATGCGACTGTACGAACGAGGAAAGAAAAAGGTAAAAAGGGCACAATATAACCGGCATTTGTTTTCCTTTCGTGCGTTCTGTTTCTTTTGCGTGGTTCCGTTCAACCGGAAATTCGGTATCGGGGCGGTGCATTTATAATAATATCCTTTGCGGTTTTTTCCAACGGTTATCCTTTGCGTAATTTCCAGCAGGAGAACAGCTGTATCGTACGTAACAGGGGAATAGGGTTATGTCGCAGCGTTTCGAAATATATATTTTTTTTTTTTTTTTTTTTTTTTTTTTTTTTTATTTTTCCCGACATATTTCGGAAAGCTCGAAGAAGTCGAACGGGGCGAAAGGTGGAGCAAGGAGTAGGATAGACGAGATACAAAAGTATATCGTAGACTGTCGAGACGTGGAAGCAAACGAACGAGCGGAATCGTTCCCTAGACAAATAACGCGTTCTTTATTCCTTATCGGTGCGGCGTCTCTCTTCAATGCGATCATTGTTGCCACGTCGCTATTGTGCCCTTTTGTTCGCGCAAAGCCGGAATCGTTTAACCGGATTTATTTCACGGCGAAATGTTTTCGCCTGTCGAAATTAAAATTTCAATCGGACGTTGACAGGTCGCCGTTTTTAATGGCGAATATGCCGCGTAAAGTATGCATACAGTACGCGACAAAACGATAGCGCACGCCGTGATTTTCAGCGGTCCTCGGGCAACATGAAAACGGTATATCTCGGCAGGAAAAGAGGAAGGTCGTGTTGCCTTATGAGTTAAATTTCATTTTACACAGGAAGGTTAATACCGTTCGAAGCAGATGACAAAGACGTTGAAAAAATTTATTTATTTATTTATTTATTCATTTATACTGATGTACTCAAAATTTATTCGTTTATTCCACAAACCTAAGGGGACGAGCAGTCTGTGCTGCCAGATTCGTATTCGGCACACGAAAATACATATACAAAAATCCTTTCCATCTTAGAGAAACAAAATCTCCTTGATCCGTATTTGGTCATCCGTGTCATTTTATCGCAAGCCACTTTTCACGTAAACGAGTAAAATTTGTAGGAAAAAACATAACCTGCGATTAATATTCCTCGGTATTACCAAGCACCGGACGCATTATAAGAGTGCGCGTGTACGCAACATACGCATAGATCGCGTTAGTTTCGAGAAAAAGCGAAAACAACGCGCTATTTTGTCGCGTGCTGTACGCGTTTCGTCGGGATCGATGAATTTCAGCGAGGAATCACGGCGCGGTTGTTGGATCACGAGGATGATCAAACGAATCCGCGTGAACGTGCAAAAGCGCGCAATTCTCGACGACGCATCGAGCTGAAACAACGGGGATCACGCGTGCGACGACCTAAATGCTCGATAGTCTGTTTTTAATCCGCCGAGTTGGAATATTCGCGTGGATAAACGTCGATTTGCCACACCAGGCCTGACGTTGGGCCATCGAGAGCTGCCGACTCGCTGGCTCTTTTCTTCCTGGATCTCGGTGCGATCTATCGACCATATCGTCGAGCGATAAACTAACCAGCATCATTCTCCGAAGAGTCGGGACGAAACGCGCGAATCGAATCAGAATCACTCGCGCTTATTCCCCCGAGCGTTCCGCGTCGGTGACTTGTTCTTTGATCGGCGCGATCGTTTAAGAAATTCGTGGGAATAAAAGCGCACGAAAAACGTAGAAAACACTGTGTTGCGCACTGACCTGGCTAGAACGTAACACCGGGAACGACCTTGCGCAACGAGTTGTTGGCTTTCAAAGCATAAAAGAAAACCACGCAAAGGACACTTGTGTCCGTGAAGCAACGTGCTAATTGCGTAACGCCACGTGAAATTCAAGCACGAATTTCTAGCGCGTTCTTCCTCCTTTGATCCTAGCGAATTCTTTGCCCGAATCGCGATCGACGAGTCATCGAGAGGATATCGATCGCGATATACGCTTAATTATCAAATTCGATCTTTCCCTGCCGGAAATTGTCGGAAATATTCCAAGGGTATACCCACCGAAATGTCAGATCTTCATCCCCGACGCGACAAACATGGATTTTCCGAGTTTTAGATCCAATTCGGTTTAGACTCGCGAACCCATCGATGGAAATTTCGACGTAATTCGATATGGATATTCGGTAATATTCGTCTATTGATCTTTGTCCTATCGCGTGAAACATTTCCATGCGAATTGTCTCGGTTTCTCGATAAACGTTGCCACGCGTGGATCGTTGGAGACGTCGGACGGTCGGTCCTTGGTTCCAGAATGTGCACAAGTGATCGTAACGTAACAGCCGACACATGCGGCGGACATTGTGTATAAATCTAATTATCAAAGCCGCATCTGACGTGCCCGTCACTCGCGCGTATTAGAACACTTGCGAGCGTCTGTTAAGAATCGATACTCGCAACCGTCTTAACACGGCTTAGCGATACTCCGCTCTACGCTTAACCCTCGGTTCAAATGCTCGCGAATTTTAGCGAATAAATCAACGATTCGCGTGGCACGCCTGTCGAGTTTCTACTCGCGCTATGATACATAGATCGGCGTTACCGTCCGTTTCACTCGCGCAGACATAGTGGGAAATCGAAGAAACGAAACTATTCTGTTCTATCACGCTATCGCGTCCATCGACGACGCACGTAACTCCCGACTAGCCACGTCGGGACGAATAAAAATACAGAGGCACAATTCGCCGAGTTGGTTTCATTCGAGTCACCGAGCATGGGCTAGCTTCGATGGGCTGACGATACACGCGCGATAAAGGAGAGCAAAGGAACGAATTCGTTCGATTTCGAGGGTTTCGCGTGTTTAACTCGCGAACGTTTGGAACGCGGACTCGGTTCCACCTGGGTGCGTTTGCTTCCGATTTCGTATCGTTTCGCGCGATCGCAGCGTTCGCGAACGGGCAGCGAAAGGTATTTCTCGCGCATCGCGAAGGCTACGAAAAGAGAATCGAATGGGAAATAAAGCGTGTTTAGTTAACTCGCTTCGATACCAATTATCGTTAATTATTCGCGAGCATAAAGATTAAAGATGAGAGATTAAAGGCGGCGAAATCGCGCGATAATTACGGTAAGAAATTCCATCGTGCTCGCTGCATTCTTCTTACCTTTCACCCTTCCGCGATAGCGCATTCTCGTCGCTTTACCGGAACAGTTTCTCTCTCGGCTAATACGCCATAGCAGAGTTCCCACTGCGAACCGTGTTTCCCTTATTTTCCTCCATGCCCGACGCATCGGCCGCGGATCGTGATAAAACATGCATTCTTCTTACGCATTCTTCGGGAAGGATGCGATTAAAAAGAGGAAAAAACTGGTTCGCATATACGCGGTTCATTATCCACCGAGGTTGAAGGTGAGTTAATAAACATATCAAACGAAGCGAGTAATTCCTGTCGGATTGCACGGTACGATATTTGCTGGACGGATCGCGCGAGTACAAGGCCGCGGGCTTTTGGTCGGGAGATGTACTAATGCTAAACGAAGTACGTATTAAACGTTTACGATGTATATTGGTTAGGAGCGAGAGATCGAGCGGGGCGAGGAAGAACACGCGAACATAATCGCAAACAAGAAAGAGACCAGGGCACCGATGAGTTATGAAGCTCGTGGCTCGTTTATTATCGCAACGGCGGGGTTAATCACGCTCCGTCTAACGATTTCCTTGTTAAACCCTGCACCGCTGACGATGCCGGGATTTGCGCTATTTCGCGGTACCTTTTACAAGTCAGGTAGGAAGTGGGCTCTGCCCTGTCGAGTTTTACGAACCGGATGAGCCGAGCAGAGGTAGGAAAAATCGGGGAGAAAAGCCTCGCCTACCTACGCGTCGAATCCGTAGACGTGGAATTTATGCTTCTCGCGCGACACGATCGACATTGGCATCGTCGGATAATTGACATAAATCGATCGATTATTTCCCCCCGCCCATGTGACTCGACGCTTCTGTTATTCCAGTTCTATCGCGACTCTACCCAAGGACGACGGTAACCGGTCTCCAAGTCGGATCGTACGTACACCTAACACGCTCGATGAGCTTTAGACACTGGATGTTTCCATAGGTTACGTAACTCGTGGCGCGGGACGTGCTCCGAAAGGGAAAAAAAATCAGCCGAACAGCGCGTAGGCGTTCCACCGAAACGATAAATCTCGCTCGCTCGCCGCGATTTCGCTCGAAGCACCGATATTTTTCGGTAGTTGCGTTTAGCAGGTGTTTCTCAGGCTTTGTCTCTTTATACCGGGTATAAACGCGCTAACGGGAAACTCGGTCCGAAACGCGTGGACTCGGCGGCGTCGGCGGCGTTTGGAAAATACGTGCCACGTCCCAGGCAGAGACCTGCACCTTCTCTCGTATATCGTCTTAAACGAGCTTGCCGCTGATCGACGCCGGATACGTGTCCCGCATTACGAGCCGAAACTCCACGAAAACGTTTCCCAAACGTAACTTTTCATCCCGCGATAGATGCTTCTCGATTAACGCGTCCGCGACTTCGATCTACCAACTCCGAAACCCCGAATCTGGTTTTACAGTTTCCTCCGGATAATACTCGCGTTACCATCGCGTTAACATCGCGTTGCTTCTCGTATCGCGTCGTATGTAAATCGCGCTTCCGGCACGTGGAAGAACAAGACCGATGTTCGATATCGGTCGCGAGTAAAGTTTGCCTCGCCATAAA